GAGCAACGGAGGAGCTCCTGACTGTAAAAGTTATCCACCTAGGGTATTTCTGTTGAGAGTGGCACAAAGCAATGTTCTGGGAAGTCTGCTGTCTCTCAGGTGCTAAGAATTCTGATGTTATAATTGGCTAGTTTGGCCACTCTGCCAGGCTCATAAGTAGGCCTCCTAGAGACAGAAGTCTCTCTGACTGCTGGCTGAGAAAGACATGCTACTGAGAGAAACACACTCCTGAGAGACACACACTGCTGAGAAAGAGACACCAAGAGACATGCATTTGCTGAGAGAGACACCAAGAGATATGCATTGCTGGGAGAGTGGCTGAGGGACACTTTTGGTGGAGAGATGGTGGGCTGAGAGAGAGACTCAGCATTTTTCCTGAGCTTGAATTGTAGCCTGGTGCTTCCCTAATAAATCCCATAATCTGTGCATTCTGTGTGGCCACTGCAGTGAATTATCAAACCCAGCAGAAAGGTGGTGAGTGCTGGGGGAGGAACGGTTGGTGTCAGGATTGGTGAAAGGGCTGGAAGGGGGCAGCATGTCTGGTCTCACAGGAATAGGCCTTGGGCTACTGATGGTGATTCTGTCTTCTTCTTGTAGGGTTAGAGGAGGTCAGAAGATGTGGCCTCCTTGCCCCTTTGGCACCTAGGATAAGAAAAGCACTATTGAAGAACAAAGTAGGAGGTCTCATACACCCAGATCTCAAAACCTACTACACAGCCACAAAAGTCAAAACAGCTTGGTATTGGTATAACTGACACATAGACCAGTGGAATAGAACTGAGAACTCAGAAATTGATTCATTGACCTATGGTCAGCTGATCTTTGACAAAGGGCCCAAATCCATTAAATGGGGAAGAGATGGTGTGATAGTTGGAGCTGTGTGTCAACTTGGCTGGACGACAATTCTGTGTGGTTTAAGCTGTTGTGTTGTGGTTATTCCCATGATGGGATCAGATGATTGTTTTGAGCAGGCAATCTGGTGAAAGGGAATTTCCCTAGGGGTGTGGCCTGCTTCCAGTATATTCAAGGACATCCTGGGAAGAGAGACATTCTTCTGTGGATTGGGATTCTATTGTGCTGCCTACAACTGTCCGTGAGTGAACAGTCCACCATTCGGCCTGGAGATCTTGG